TTACCCATGTTGCGGCTGCCATGTCCGGCAGGTGAACCCGAGAGCATGGGCCAACAGGTGCGCGGCGAGGCGGGTGGCGATGCATCCGTGAAATAAAACTGACAGAAAAAGTGCATGGCGCCAGCGACTGGACGGCCATCCTCCAGCGTGGCGTACGACAGTACCCACACACCGCCAAACGCCGCAGCCACGTACAGCACCATGAAAGCATTGAAAACACCAGCGGAACGATGCCCAGAAGTTACCGTAGAAAAACTGCAAACGCTGCCCGTGGCAAATGAGGACAAAAACAACAGACCCTCCAGTGGCCGGACGAGCAGACGATCCGCATGCGGGTTTACAGCAGCAGGGACAGTCTCCTCGGCAAGGATGTTCTCGTGCGCAAAGGTCAAAGCACCATTCTTACAGCCAAACGCGCCGTCCAAAGAATTTACTGCGCAACGCCAAAAGAAGCCGCAGTGCCTCCTGATGTCACACGAGTCTTTTTTTGACTTCTTGATGCGGAAGGGCACCTGTCGGTCCTTCCGGACCCCGCTGCACATCCGCAAAGCGTCCAGCGCCCTGAGATGCATTTTCCTCACCGTAAACGAGATAAACCTCGCTGTGGGAGCGCACCACATCGTCTCGAAATAAGGAACACTTCAGGATGAAAGCAGGACATCCGCCGACAAATCACATCGCACAGATCATCAATAGCAGCACCAGAGGCGATGCAGACCGCATGGTGACGTGAATCAAAGGACTCATTTCATAAGCCAAAGACAATCTTAATGACCTTACAAGAATACAAGAAACTGACGCTTTCTCAACAAAAACGAAAACATAGAAAAATAAAAACAAAACTCCAGTGTCCGCATCCAAAGCATGCAGCCGATCAGAAAGTGCAATGTGTGCACTCAACCACAACACAAGTAAAACAATAAAACAAAACAAAAAGCCGAAGCGTGGGACGACCAGCGCACACACACTCTCATTGCTCCCGTAAAGCAAAACACACACACAGAGGGAGAGAGAGAGAGGTCGCCCACTCAATGCAATAAAAACAAAACAGAAACAGTTACGGTGCTCCGCCCATGCAGCCAGGCAGGACGGCAGCGGTGCGTGTCGTGCAAGAGAGAGCACCAACGGGCCTGCATGGGTGTGCATGCATATATACAATGGGCACATTATTGTGTGTGCTTCGTGGGGTGAGGTGAGGGCGAGAGTCCATGCAAGGGGACACACACACAGAGAGAGAAGGAAGAGTGTGTGTGCGGGCGGTGCACGGCTCTCTCTCCCTCACTCTCACGCGGCCATCACCGCAGCCGCACACGCGACAAGAAGAAGAAGAAGCAAAAGAGGGGATGTGGTGTGGGAGACCGCGGTGCTGCCGTCGCTGTCGCCAACCGTTGCCGTTTCATTTTTTTGAGCGGTGGTGAGTGTTATTGCTGATTGAGGTGCTGCCTCATCTGCTGTAGGAGAATTGTTGATGTCAGTACCTTCAAGATCGTCCTGTGATTCACTGGGGTTGGGCCGTTGAGCATTATCCGCATCCGCCGTAATCTGGGCCTCACCAGTGCCACTTGTAGAAGTGGATGGTTCTGTATTTCTCGCTTGACTTCCTGGAGATGAATTTTCCATCAATCCCTCTGTGGTTGTGTTTTGACCTTGTTGCTGTAACACATTATCCTCTGAAGGAATTTCCGGTGTCTTGGACTCCTTTTTAGTTGTTAAAATTGACGGTTTTTGCTCTTGACCTTTTGTGGTCTGTGGGACATTTGGTGCTGGTAGGCTTACATTGCTTGGTGATGGTTCTTTTCCTGGAGGTGCCGGTTCTTTTGATAGAACTGGTGATGTCACCGCCGATGGCGGTGCTGGCGGTGGTGTTTGGTTGCTGGAATGGTCTACCTTCCCCACATCATTTTGCTGATTCCGCTCTCCAGTTGAAGCCTTACCATTAACTGAAGTTGGTGCTGCTGCTTGTGTGAAGGAGGGATCTTTGTCTTCTTCTTTGGGTTCCGATTTATCCTGTGTTTCCACTTTGGGCGGTGTATCCCCTGGAGACGCTGTTGATCCTGGCTCCGCAGCTGCTTCAGGAGATATCGTCTCCTCAGTGGATAAAGAAACTTCTGTGTTCTGTGACTCACCAACCCCATTGGGAATGCGAGGTGAATGGGGGTCAACTGAGGGAGGAGACTGCAAAAAACCACCACCACCACCTTTGGGATCTTCACTTGTGTTCCTGTTACCGTCACTTCCACCAGCAGAATTGCCACTGCCGCCAGAAGTTACACCGCCTCCTCGACTACCTCCAGCTCCACCTACACCACCAGAAACAGAACCGGCAGCAGCAGCACCTGAAGGTGAAGCTGGATTACCTTCAACAACATCAGAAGCATCATCGTTAGTCGAGGCTTCAGCGGCGGTGATGAACGAGACCATACGCGAAGGCAGCGAGATCGCAACCTTATCACATACGCTTGGCACACGCAACCGATTCGCACCTAAAACTCCCGACGCCATGCAATCACCCACTGCGTTCTTGTTGTCGAGCTCCCTCGCATAAACCCCACAGGCACCGCACCACAGCACGCAGAGGGCACACACCAGCAGCACACGGCCAGTCATCATCGCCACCACTCCTGTCACTTGCGTGCAGCCTTCAGCACAAACTAACTCCCCGTCAACGCAGAGTGAAAGCAACAAAAGGAGAGACAAGTCACACGGCCGCTACACCACGCTCAGCCACCTCACAATGACAAATAGCAGCAGCCCAGCAGCGCACACACACCATATGGCAGTTGAAAGCAGTGAAAGGGCAAAAACGCACACAACGCCCCACAGCAAGTAAACAGAAACAACACACGAAGCAATTAAAAACAAAACACAGGTAAACGTACAGCAATGAAGTGAAAAATGCAAAAACTCACACAAAAAAAGAGACAACACAGTATGGATCCAGTGCGCATGCACCCATCCTCAAATGTGATTCCACGCAAACAGTTGTGTGCGTGCAATGAATATGAGTTTGTCCGGGGTGCGTTCAACGTGACGGATGCGGGGAGCGGAATGGAGCACACAGCAGGACATCGGAGCGCGCAGCACGGCAGCGGAAGCAAATGAAGCAAAACACAATCATTATTTTCTATTATTTACTCACATCGGAACACAGTAGACGCATACAAATCCCCGTGGCTGAGTGCTGGCACGCACAGCGCGCATACAATTCTTCAGCCCAGAGCGGTGTACGCCAGCGCGGACACGGCAAGCAGCAGCGGGGCACACACCCACGCAGAGCTGCTGAGGCTGCCGTCGATTTCGCGAAGACGTGACGGTGCGCGGGTGGTCGTCGTCGTGGTTGGCGTCTCCGTTGTCGTAGTACTTGGTGCCTCTGGCGCAGTGGTGGTTGTCGTGGTCGTTTTATTTGGTGCCTGTGTTGTAGTGGTCGTCTTCGTGGGAGCATCTTCGGCTTTATTATCTTCATTTTCCGGAGAGCTGCTCGTACCACTTTGTGACTCTGTTGTGCTTTTCTTACCTTCGGCATTTACCACATTGTTCTGGTTCTTTGATTGCTTTTCCGGAGTGGGCGCACCTGGACCCGCGTCGGCTTTTGTTCCCTTGTCTCCAACGGGGACCAAAGCCAATGACTCTTCTGACTGATCCTTCCCTTGTAGACCCACTGTAGCGGAGGAAAATGAACTAGAACCTTTTCCATCAGGTTGAACAATAACCTTTTTGTTATCCGTTGATGCCTGTGTTGCACTGTTTGTCGTCATCTGGGAAGAAGCTTGAACCGGCGTATCCCTTGCAACGCACACGGACGGGCAGCAGCACAGGGCGAGCACCAACAGGGCGCACAGCAGACGGCACGTCATCATCATCGTGAGTGTGGTCGTTCAGTGGTGTGGAGCTGATCTGCACAGTGAGGGAAATGGAGAGCAACAGGGGAGACGAGAGGTGCGGCAGACACACACAGAGGGCACACCACATGAGGAGAGGGCAGCAGCCAGGCATGCACCGTACGCCGCACACCACGCACGACACACACTCCAATCCACGGCAGCAGGCACACACACACACAGCCCTGCCGCAGCACCAACACACAGATGGAGGAGGGAGAAGCAAACAGGAGCGGCACACAAGGCTCCACCGCATGCACACACGGCGAGAGCGGTCCGTCGTGCCGGCACCCCTCACGGAGGATACGCACACACACAAGAGAGGGTGCAGCGCACACAGCAACACAAAAGCGAAGTAACAGTAAAAAAGGAGATCCCCGCACACCACGTGGATTGTTGGTCCACGGGAAGCGCAGCCAATATTCATCACAAAGCAACTTATTCTCTTCTCTTGGTTGTATGATGTCGCAATAAAAAGTGAGCAGCGCAAGGGCCGTCCGTACAAAAGTGGCAATCATTCCGTCTCATGCGGGCCGTCGTGCGGTCTGGAGCAGTCACAAACAGTCGCAGTCCATATTCCCAGCGACGAGGGCATTCCCGCAGTGGATGAGGCGGAGTCTCCCGTGGTCCGTCGGGGATCAGCAGCCCATGGCGTCTGTGACGAGGCGCTGGCGGAAGTGCCTGGTCCATCTCGAGTGCCCGCGTTTGTGCTTCCTGCGTGTGTTGCCTGCTGGCATGCTTGGCGACTTCGGTGGCGACCTGCGTGCGAGGCGCCTGTTAGGAAGACGGTGGAGCCATCGCGGCATCCGCATGCGAGGCTCTCTCAAACCATTGGAACGCCAGGCCGAGCACGTCGGGCATGTGCCCTCATACTGTGGACGGAAGAGCGCACTCTGCCGCAGGTTGGGCGGGAGGACGTCAATCCGCCGCTCGCTGGTCGGCAAGGAGTTGCAGCGTTCACGTCGGGAAGAAGCTCCGGCAGAGGCGGGCCATTCCCCTCAGTGTGAGGGAGGGACGGCACCGACAGAGAGAGGGTCGCTTGTGATCCGCAGAGCGCGGGCCTGCCGAAGAGAGGGCAGGAGTCGCATCGCGCCTGCGCGCAGTGCCGCCACTCGGGGCACGATGTCCGGGCCAACACCAGGAATAGACTCCTCGCCACACCGACATGTGCCTGTCACGCGGTGTGCGCGCCTTCCTTTTCCTCCTGGGCATTCTTCAAGTTCCGCCGCCTGACTGCAGTGAGGAGGCCCGCGTGCCAGGCATTGACGCAGTCCTGCGGGAGAGATCGTGGCATGACGGCGTCAGCGTCCGCTGTCACGCTGCGTGGGATCCCGCAGTGCCAGGGGAAAATGTGGAGAAAACTGCGTGACCTCAATCCGCCAGTGAAAGCGGCACGGTGCAAATCTCCTCGGTGGCGTCGTCGCGCACCGCCAGCGGGCCAAGGCATAGCGCCTCCATTGCCGACAGGGAGTCTCTGGCGACAGCAACTCGTGTGTGCGATTGGGACGCTGCTGCCAGGCGGAGAACTGGAAAGTGTCTGTGGCCATGCTCAGTGGCAGGACACTCCGCTCGGCAGGAGCATGCGAGGCTGCCAGCGGCTGCGCGGTGAGGCCCCACGGGGAGCGCCGCTGTCCGGGGAGTCGGGTGGCAGCGCGGCGGATCCAGACGACGCTCAGCGAGATACAACGAGCCGTCCACCGCCAACACAGTCGCCAGCGAATAACAAGACGTTGGCCACGAATAGGGCACGTATGCCCGCACTGCCGTGGGCACGGATAGCGGCCCGATTCACTCAGCAACAGTGATCTAATGTCCTTGGATGGTACAACAGCCACGCCTGAGCCCAGCACAGTCCTAGCAAATGTTGAACGAGTGATAACGTGTCGGGTGGCGCTGATGCCGCACAGGATTATTTGCGCACAACGTCGGAGAAACCAGAGATCCCATCGGAGCACGACGCGGCATCACTTGTGAGCAACGGTTTTTGTGAGCACGGGCATTTCACGGATTTTTTGGCCATGGCCGAAATTTGTGACAGCACCGTGCATGGGTGTGTGCCTCGGGTGTTGTTGCTTCTGTTTCTGGGGCTGTGAGGCGCTACGGCACTCCGCGGAGGTGTGAGGGAGGGTGGAACTGCGGTTTTTCGTGGAACAATAACTGTGCAGCTTGCCAGCATTACCCACTGAGTTTTGTCAATAATTTAAGTTTTTTTTACTTTCTTTTAGTTATTTATTTTTGCTGCTTTTGCCCTATTGGAATAATCAGCATTCCTGTGTTTTCCCCCAATGCTTGTTTGCTGTACGTTTTCATGAGTGACATGTTTCTTCTTTTTGTCTTGTTTTTTGTTGCCCACACGCGGTGACGGCCTCATTGCTGTGCGTCCCACGGACTGCACAAGAGGAGGATTGGAGAGAAAGGCCGGATGCCGCACGAAATGTGAGGGATGTTGTGTGGGCTCGTGAAGCAGTATAATCATTTTTTTTTTTTACTTTAATTTATTTTTCTTGGTGCGGGCAATATGTATATACAAAAACACAAGTTCGTTTACATTGCGCTGCTTGGCACATGAAATAAAAATTATGCCGAATGAATTTCTCTAATTGTTTCCGGGAGCCCTGCCGGACACTTTATTGTGCTTTGTGTTTTTTTTCAGCTTTTTTAGCTTTCTGTTTGCGGGTCGGTGTGCGAGTTCTGCTGTTTGTTACTTGTCCTGTGAGTGGTTGTGTGACTTTTATTTTCTTTTTTCTTCGGTTCTGCGTTGGCGGGGAGTTGTTTTGTGCTGAAGGCTGCACGCAAGTGACAGGAGTGATGGCGATGAAGATGACTGGCCGTGTGCTGCTGGTGTGTGCCCTCTGCGTGCTGTGGTGCGGTGCCGGCGGTGGTTTTGCAAACGATGAGAAGTCAGGTCCTGGGAATCGTGCTGAACTTCCGCTTGCATCACAAGGACCTGAAACAGCTCCACAAGATTCCCAAGGGTCACAAAATAGAGCACCAGGTGAGGAAGAAAATTTAACTTCCGTACTTGGAGAGGAAGCTGATGGTGATGATGTTGATAGAGAGAAAAAAGCGGAAGAAGAAGAAATTACTGAAAGGCAGGGCAGTGAAGGAGGAACAGCTGCAGTAGGCTCAGATTCCAGTGAAACGAATTTAAGTGACAGCGAGCAGGAAACAGGCCAGCCAATTGTACCTGCAGGGAGCATTTCTCCTTCCAACAGTCAGGAATCAAATGCCAATCTTACGCAAACGGAAGTTGAAGGAAAAAAGGAGCCCGACAAAAATACAACAACAGTAGAGGGCGCACTCACAACAGTTAACGGAGAGCACACACTGCCTGCGGGAATAGCGGAAGGAAATCTTCCACCACCTACAGAAGACAGTGTTGATTCCCGCGAACAGGATGGCGAAGAGGCCACGAGTGAAGGTAAAAAAAATGCTTCGTCGCCTGAGACCGCGGCCACACCACAAAGAGACCGAGAAAAAGGCTCAGAAGGAACTGGAGGAGATACAAAAGCAACGATAGTAACCGCCAACACAACTGATACGACGAGCACACAAAACAGTGACAGCGACAGCAGCACCGCGGTCTCCCACACCACCTCCCCTCTTTTGCTTCTTCTTGTCGCGTGTGCGGCTGCGGTGGTGGCCGCGTGAGAGTGAGTGTGAGAGAGCCGTGCACCGCCCGCACACACACTCTTCCTTCTCTCTCTGTGTGTGTCCCCTTGCATGGACTCTCGCCCTCACCTCACCCCACGAGGCACACACAATAATGTGCCCATTGTATATATGCATGCACACCCATGCAGGCCCGTTGGTGCTCTCTTTTGCACGACACGCACCGCTGCCGTCCTGCCTGGCTGCATGGGCGGAGCACCGTAACTGTTTCTGTTTTGTTTTTATTGCATTGAGTGGGCGACCTCTCTCTCTCTCTCCCTCTGTGTGTGTGTTTTGCTTTACGGGAGCAATGAGAGTGTGTGTGCGCTGGTCGTCCCACGCTTCGGCTTTTTGTTTTGTTTTATTGTTTTACTTGTGTTGTGGCTGAGTGCACACGTTGCACTTTCTGATCGGCTGCATGCTTTGGATGCGGACACTGGATTTTTTTTTATTTTTCTATGTTTTTGTTTTTGTTGAGAAAGCGTCAGTTTCTTGTATTCTTGTAAAGTCATTAAGATTGTCTTTGGCTTATGAAATGAGTCCTTTGATTCACGTCACCATGCGGTCTGCATCGCCTCTGGTGCTGCTATTGATGATCTGTGCGATGTGATTTGTCGGCGGATGTCCTGCTTTCATCCTGAAGTGTTCCTTATTTCGAGACGATGTGGTGCGCTCCCACAGCGAGGTTTATCTCGTTTACGGTGAGGAAAATGCATCTCAGGGCGCTGGACGCTTTGCGGATGTGCAGCGGGGTCCGGAGGGACCGACAGCTGCCCTTCCGCATCAAGACGTCAAAAAAAAGACTCGTGTGACATCAGGAGGCACTGCGGCTTCTTTTGGCGTTGCGCAGTAAATTCTTTGGACGGCGCGTTTGGCTGTAAGAATGGTGCTTTGACCTTTGCGCACGAGAACATCCTTGCCGAGGAGACTGTCCCTGCTGCTGTAAACCCGCATGCGGATCGTCTGCTCGTCCGGCCACTGGAGGGTCTGTTGTTTTTGTCCTCATTTGCCACGGGCAGCGTTTGCAGTTTTTCTACGGTAACTTCTGGGCATCGTTCCGCTGGTGTTTTCAATGCTTTCATGGTGCTGTACGTGGCTGCGGCGTTTGGCGGTGTGTGGGTACTGTCGTACGCCACGCTGGAGGATGGCCGTCCAGTCGCTGGCGCCATGCACTTTTTCTGTCAGTTTTATTTCACGGATGCATCGCCACCCGCCTCGCCGCGCACCTGTTGGCCCATGCTCTCGGGTTCACCTGCCCGGACATGGCAGGCCGCAGCATGGTAAGGAATGTTGCCGGTGTGCGTGGCAGGGCGCTGTTGGCGGTGGTGCACTCGACGAGTGCCGCGATGCCTGCAGGGGAGCACCACGACTGCGACGACATTGATGGCATGGAGCTGCAGGATGACGATGGGGACGGAAGGACGCTGGAGTCGCACTGGTGGCAGCGCCACGCGAGGGATGAGCGGATGGCACCAATTGGAGGCGCCGGCTGCTGCAGAGGAAGTGCTCCGCACTGAACATGAGTGGATATTGCTACATGCTCTGCGCATTGGGCGTTTCTGCCAGATGCTGCGCGTCGGAACAGTATTCCAGCGGTTGGTGTAGACGGAGTATCCTTGAAATGTCAGCAAAACGCCCGATGGACAGTTGCCCCATCAGTGATCCCGCACTGGATGTGGGGGATGTTGAGGCTGTTATTTGGGAGGGGAGAATATTTGTCTGCGGTGCCTGGGGATGAGCCCTCTTTGTGGTGTTTGGACACGCTTTCCACCAACACGACGGATGCGAGGGACCCGGAGGAGACAAATCTCAGTGCTGTAGCGCAAGCGGCATTGAGGTGCCTCAGTATGCGGGTGCATTTGGAAGTGACTGAAAAGGGTGACGTCCGTTGTGTTCCATGCACGGACGGAGCGACGATTGCGTGGGCCACTCGACCCTGCGCTGGGGGAAACGCTATTTGCCGTGACCACGCGCAGGTGTGCACGATATCCGCCACCAGCGGCAGCCTACTTCCAGTGGTTCCGTGGGTGGCGAGGAGAGAGCATGTGGAGCAGGACGGTTTCACCAGCATCTACTGAACAAGACTTCCCAGGGGCATCCGTCACCGTTGCGGGGAGCATTGAGACCGACCACGGCGCACCACCGAAGGATGTAGACACGGCTGTTCCCCAGAAGAATTTGTTGAAAGAGGAGAAGTGGATCCGGCCAGGATACCCCGACAGACCGCGAGAATCTTCTCTCGGCGGCAGGGATCGAAGCAGCGAGACGGACGGCGAGCAGGCCCGT